CTACTGTGTCATCTCTTAATACGCGAGTGGCCCCTTAATCGATTGCACATTTCTTGCCGGCTCGTTGGTACGCTGATCGAGGGAGATCCTTCATCCGAAAGACTCGTGGCATAGCTAAGTCGGAATGAGTCGGTTGGGAGAGGGGTAGACTGAACGGGTGAAGGTGTCGGGTGAAAGATCTCGCAGGGGCTAAACGACTACGGTAATCCGGAGGATCTGGATAGCCGAAGGGAGTCGAATAGCCGTGAACGCTGTAGCAGCGCTCCTGGACATCCTCGCGCGAACGCAGGAAGAACTGCGCTCAGCAACGAGTAGGGAATGGGTAATGGTTGGTACACTAGGGAGTCGATGGAGGCGGTATGTAACGCGTCACACTCCCGATGGCGTGATCGGAGTACCGCTTCCGAATTCTCCCGAGGCGAGACTTCAACATCGAATGTGAAGTCCGCGGTGCCCCCACCAATGTGAAACCTCAGTGCGTGCGGGGACTTCGTGCGATGGAGTCTCGTAGTACCGTAGTAGCTTGTCATAGTGTAGTGTCGATGAATAGAAGTAATTGGAGAGAACGCGACTGTTGAGGTCGCGCTCGTCTCCTAGGGTTGCCTAGAAGTCCTAGGCAGACCCTCGTTAACCCAGAGGACGGGCTCTCGTATCCTGTGGAGGAGGGAGCATTGTACAGGGCGCTCACCCTTTGGTCTTACCAGCAGTGGACATAGGACGCTGATCACCGAGCTTGGTAGCAAGATAGTGATGGTTTATGTCTAAGTGTGCTAATGCCAATACAAACAGATATAAGTCAAGTATTAGTAAGCGGGGCTGCGCGTATCCTCAACTCCGTATTACATCTGCAATCGACTTTCAACTGTCGAAAAAAAAAATCAACGGATCCATAGGCTGATGAGGCAGGAAGGAATCGAAAAGACCCACCTGGGGGGATCCGAGTCGGACAGAATTCTGGGTCTTTCAAATGAGGAACTAGGCACCTCCCAATTTCCTGAAGTTCGGCACAGGTGACTAGAAGTCTGTTTACCTTCACTGGCACAATATCATTCCACTCGTCCAGAGTTACAATACACAGTTTTAACAAAGATCAATTGACGGAAGTTACAGAATACAGCCTACATTTATAACATCAGACATAACTTGGCTCCTGAAGCTCTTCCTATATGTCCGAAAATCTCCACACCTAAGGACGGATCGGCGGTTGGATTTGCCAGTACGGGACATCCGAGTCAGTAAGGGGCAATATCTTAATAACGACCTAAAAGCACCAGAAAAATCAGCCAAAGCATGGGATAACAGAGTATGGATCGCGTACTTGGCCCTCGTCGTTAGTCGCAGTGTAATAGGCAGCGCCGACAGCCTTGGTGACCGGTCGAATCCTGAAAATACGATGAGGTGCCATGCAGAAACATTTTAATATAACACATACGTGTAGGCAAAAGAACGGCCATTTTCAGCATGCTCGATGTGCCATTCGGCAATGCGCTCTCTAGTACTAATGATGGGGCCATGGGGGACACTGGAATCGTCCTTCAAAGCCCAACCTTCACTGCCTGCCCACGCTTCGAAAAGGATGTGGTATACATCCTTCTTGCCTTCTACGGGCTGTATATGCCACTAGTGTCGGAAACGTATCAGTAACGTCGAGGAAAAACACAAAGTACTGACAATTTGCCGCCGAACGGTCGACAACTTTTCCTCGACGATAGTAACGATCTCGTCGAGGCCGTTGGTGGTGCCATACACTTGGGCAAAGGGAGTTGCCTTCAGAGTGTACAGATCGTCAGGGAGAGTAAATGTTTAGCAAGTTGTTTGAGTTCGAGATGAAGGGAGCTGATGATCCCAACCGTCGAAACTACCTGGCTTTTATGTTTCCTAGAATGGAGGGAATTAATCCGCGCACGGTTGTATACCAAGCCGGAATATGATGTCTCCGAGTAGTAAATCTGGAACAAAGACAAAAGCGGCGCTCGAATTACTCCACCATTCAGCGCAACGTTCGTGGAAGTAGATTGATTCCTCGCTTGGACCAAAATTGACGTGCTGGCTGGCATGGAATTCTGATGGGTAACCTGATAATCGCGGAATTCGACAAGTGGCGTATGGACTTGGGTAGCAAGCGAGACTCCGTTGGAATGAGATAAATCTCTCTCTCAAGTGCACTTGCGGTGGAATACTTGCATTGGAATCAGGTCTCGATTGCGATTACTAGACACGCGCAGGTTTTGAACAGCCTGAGGTTGAATGATAATTGAGAATGTCATACCTAAGAAAATCGTCACAAGGTCCAGTCTAGTCCAGTGAAGTGCCCTGCTAAAGCCGGTACGGATACGACGTGACCATTCGCCGAACTGAGAGCTAGTGGAAGTTTGTTGGAGACAGGTGTTGTACTTTGTTTTGACGCATGCAAGTGCGCGGGCACGTGGCAGTAGTTTATTTTGCCTGGTCCAGCCAAACACAAGTTAGTTCTCACCACCGCAGCCACCAGCAATCAGCGAAGACGTTGTTCTTGAAGAATGGCGGCCAACGAGGCGTCCTTCAAGGATATCCCAGAAATATACGAGGTTGGGGAATTATATGACGTACCAAACACTGGCTCATTACGTTTTGAACAGGTTGAACTTGGGGAGGCACTCACCTCTCGAACGGAGGCGCTATGTGCGTTGTTTGTAGTTACACACTCATCCAATTCTAACGCGCAATTTCTAGCTACGTTTCGTGAGCTTGGCCCCCCGGATTTATGTCACGTCGTCAAAACAACTGGTCGCAACGGTCAGCGCGATGTTGGTGGGCTTTTACACAATGGTTGAATCGAGATCTGACATTCATCCAGCTTGGTTCATACCACTACATATCTGGAGTTGACGCTTCTTCATCTGCATCCCTCGCCGCATACATCAACTCCCTGACATACGCTATCGAAGAGAACGTGGCATGGTTTTCGAAAACCCCAACTTGGAAGGTCAAAAATGGATGTTACTGGTATGTGGTGATATCGTTCACCTATCCCCTGGTTGTAAACCATCTATATACAGTTGCTTCAACGCTTTCTCTCGTGTGGACATGCGTGTCGACGTTAAGATACCTGGAGGGGTGAATGCATACGTGATTGATCTGCGTGGCGAACGGTACGTAATACTCAGCTTCGAAAACTTCTTACAGGCTCAAACCCCTTTAGACATGAAGCGACACCCGAAGTCTGGCAGGAAACATACGTCTCGGCGCTGCTACGCGCAATTCTGTACTCGGATGACCCGACGTATTGGCTTGAGGCATACCGCAAACTAGACCCTCTCACGTCTCCTGAAGGCGAACTCCGATTCCTGCAAGCTGCGGAGAGTCTTTTCACCAAGGGTTTGTACTGAACATCGACCTGATAATGTTCTTCGGGCTCACTCTTGTCTAGGTTGGCAGGTCGGGTCTGACCCCGAAATTCAAGTTGCAACGGTTGTTTCAAATCATCTGACTGCGGGCATCATGAAGTACTTCGGGGACAGCGGGCGGTATCAACAAGCTGCGAACCTCTTTGAAAAACTCGCAGTGCACGAACCCGAAGTGTCTTCCCTCCTGGCCAAGAGCTACATCGGCATGAGTGCGTTCATGTTTTGCATCCTCTCTCTCTACCCTCACCGCGTATGTTCTAGATGAGGAAGTAAAGGCTGTGCAAATTATCTCTGCAGCGATGAGGCAAACACCGCAATCGTATACCCTCCTCCACGTTCAGTGCGACTTCTTGAGGTCGAAAGGCAAACATGAATGGGCCCTCAAGTTGGCACGACAGGCAGTCAACTGCGCTCCAAGCGAATTTGTCACCTGGGAAAAGCTTACAGACCTCTACATTGACCTTGGCCAGTATGAATCAGCGCTGTTGACGCTCAATTCGTGCCCAATGTTTACCTTCAATGGCCGTGATGCGCACCGTATTCTTCCAGCCTCGAGGATCCACTCACCTTTCCATCGACCTATTGGAGACATCTTGCCTGACAAGCAGAAGACTGAGGATGACGAGGTGTGTCTTCCGTCATCTGAGGCAGGCTATTAATTGACTTAACTCTCTACAGGCAGACCCAGCCCTTCAGCGCCTACCAGCTCCCGGCCTCAGAGGAACCTGGGCAAGAGCTTACGCGTTGCTCACACGGCTGGTATCTCAAATCGGGTGGGATGAGCTGCTCAAAACCCGGAGCTACGTATTCGTTATGGAGGAGGAGTATCGCATGCAGAAGGCGCAAGGAGACATTCAGCAAGCTGCGGCTACCACCAACGGCCATGTGCCTGATGATATGACCTCGGAAGGGGATGCGGGCCAGGTTGTCATACACGAGGATGGGATGGTGGTTCGACCGTCCATGGACGATCAAGCTTCTACGCGGGCTATCATGTCTGCACCTAGTGTTGAATCGGTCGCACATTCGCCGATACCTACCATCAAGGTTTCGGCTGATGGTGATGATGAGTCTGATGATGGGGAGGAGGAAGAAGGGGACGCGAAAGGGAAGGGAAAAGCAGATGAGTCTGGGGATGCTGATGATGAGGATGACGAGCCGGAGGGTGGTGAAGAGGAGGAGGCGAAGAAGGAAGTGGATGCTCCTGCTCCCGCTAATGGCCAGCAAGTGAACGATATGGACACGCTTGAGAAGCCGGTGCAGGCTGCTGGGGAAGGGGAGCAGAACATCAATGAATCGTCCCCTCCCCCCGCTCAGGAGCCCTTTTCGTTCAGCAACAAGAGGCTTTGCGAGAGATGGCTTGATAATCTTTTCATGGTCTTGTATGAGGTGAGTAGATTCCCTGGCCCACGTGTTCTTCCGTGACCTCACACCGTTTACTCTATCAGGATTTGAGGGTTTGGACGATCTTCCGTGCTGAAGTCGCTCACTTTAAAACCCAGCACGTTGCCTACCGTAAGACCGGCCTTGAATGGGAAATCTTGGGTGATTTGGGAATGCGTTTGCATCATAAGGAGGAGGCAAAGGAGGCGTACCAGCGATGCCTCGACTCACCGCGGTACTCTCAGAAGCCATGGGCCAAGCTGATGGAGATGTATGCTGAAGAAGGCGATATCCAGCGCTCGATCCAGACTGCCATTCGTGTTGCGGCTTATCAGTATGCTGAGTATACTGAGATGACGGTACGATCATATTACTCCCCCTTCATTTAATTGTGTGCTCATTGAGATGTGATATGATTAGTATCCTACTCAAATCGCGCGAAGCTTCTTCAAGCTCGGGCAGATACATGGCCATGCCAAAATTTCATTCACGTTGCTGAGTATGGGATTGCCAGACCCGATTCTTAAAATTATGGATAGCTATCTTCAGTATGGGAAGACGTTCAAAGTTGAGGGGTATGATTTCTGATACTTCATAGAGCTGTTGTTGTTGTTGTTCTTCATTCGTAATAATACCCCCTTTAATTTCCTCTTTGACGAATTCATCTTCAAGAAGTGTAGCATCTGGTTTTTGTTCGAACTATGTATATGTTTTCTTGGGCTCCCAGTGACTTCACGGAACGGCCCGGACTGGTAAAATTATGGTCGCTCTGGAGTTCGGCCCTGATACTCTACCCTCGCTCTACTGCCCGTGGTTCCCTTGAGGACGACTGGTTGCCGTCGACGATTCTATAAAGGCAGTAAGCACTACAAGCGTTCATCGATTGCTTACCTACTCGAGTTCAATTAGCCTCGAGGCAGATCCCGCTTTTCCCCCTGGTTTTAGCGCCTACACGCCTACAAGTACTCTTCGACGATGGCTGTACCGGAAACATACCCTGGGTATTGTCTACGCTCTCTCGTTGGTGACTGTCCCTTTGGCATCAACTGCAGGAAGAGCCACGACATTCAGTGGTGTGAGTGTGGTCTTATAATCAAGTGCAAGAATTACAGACCGCACGTACGGGGAAAACGACATGCTTTATTGTTGTACAAAGCACGACAAGATGCTCAAGCAGAGTCGTCGAGGGGGTCGTCAGATTCGTCGCCGCAGGGTCGATCGGTACGTGAGCCCTGTGATATCGAGGAAAATGAATGTTCAATTAAAAATTAACAGGGTTCCGCGGCAAATGGCGCCACAAACACTCCAGCACCCAAGTTCTGTGAACAGTGCAGGAAGAACGTACCCGCTGCCGAGTACGATGATCACACTGAGGATCATAGAAGGAAACAACGTCAGGCCGAGATACAGGCTGCCTTGGAAGAGGCTGAGCAGGACAAGGAGGGTGTCTTGGTTGAATGCAAGACTGGGATTGATTTTGGAATCCTGGAGGCCGAAAGTGCCGTGGAATATACCATTACCATCGAAAACACAAATCCCCGTTCAGGAGTTTCGCTGCAGAGTTGTCGTATGCGCTCATCGAATCGGGGGGACGAGCACGGGAAAAAGTACGTTCTGATTCAATTGCAGCGTTAGTGGACTTATTTCCTTTCACCAGGTTCTCTGCTCGTTTGAAGGGGAAATCTAAATTTATAAAGCAAGGAGTTTTGAGGACTCTATCCATCTTGATGCACCCCTCGTATGCTGGGCATTACGAGGATACCCTAGAGCTCGTTTTCTTTCATCTTGAACTGCGCCGCACGTTTGTCATCACCCGACGTATTTGCGGCACAGTTGGGTCCCGAGAAGACCACGAACAACTCAAACCAAAGGAGCCGTACGCAAGGAAGAAGCTCACTCTTTTCCGCCCGGACGGAAATGTCATCCCGAGTATAAGGCCACCCGTTTGGACCCGCATAAAATGGGCGCAGGGCCTTCCCAAGTACCCAGTTCCAAAACCTCTAATCGAAGCGGCATTTGGACCCCATTCACATAATTCCAATGCTGTGCGGGCGGCCGTCAAGCGGTGGATGCCCTCCGCATTCAACCCAGTCACGTATGGAAGTTGGTTCCAGGCTCTGGTTTATCTCGAGGAAGAGCAATCAAGGTGCGTTGAACATTTTGTACTCGTTTCTTATGCTCAACTAGTTTGTTCGGCCAATAGACTTCTTCTGGATATGTACTCGCTGGAGAACGTTGAACTAAAGGCGAATTATCCGCGTTATGAGTAACGTCTTTTCCTTTATGTTCTGACTTCATCCACGCTAACGTATCATCCAGTCTTGAGGTCAAAGGGCTGGCAGAAAATCGGCCCTCTGTGCTTGTGGGAGATTACATTCTTGTCAGCCACACCGACACTGCGGACGACGGAACTCGAAGGAATTGGTTCGAAGGACGTGTTCACAACGTCCTCCTAAATCGCGTTAGCTTGCGGTTTGGGGAAGAATTTAGCGTTTACAAAGGGAACAAGGTCGACGTCAAATTTGTTTTGAACCAGCTTCCATATCGGCGGATGCACCACGCATTGAGCAACTCCTTCAGACCCGCCCGCTTGTTGTTCCCCGGGCCCGAACATTTGCGTGGTGCGAGGAGGGTTACACAAGCCCAAATCAATATGATTTCTCCAATTAACCGTTTACTGCGAGAAGATGATGAACAGATGGAGACGGTCGCAGCTATTCTGAACCAGAAGCCAGGGAGCATACCTTTTGTTCTCTTCGGACCGTAAGTGTTGAAATCCTGGCAGTCAGAGTGAATTCCAACTTTTACCCAATCAGGCCTGGCACTGGCAAAACGGTTACGATCGTCGAAGCCATGCAACAGCTTCTCCTCCTCAATCCTGATGTTCGCATCCTAGCATGTGCACCAAACAATTCAGCTGCAGACTTGCTCGCTCAGAAACTCACGAATCTTGGGAGACAAGCAGTTTTCCGTCTGAATGCTCTCAGCCGGAAACACGATGACCTGCCCAAGTCGCTTCGCGAATTTGCCCTCATCAATGAGAACAAGGTTTTTTCTGTCCCAACACTCGAGGAAATGAAGAAGTACCGCGTTGTGGTATCGACATGCATTTCTGGTGGGATTCCTGCAAGCCTCGGGCTTAAGAGGGGGCATTTTACACATATATTCATTGACGAAGCTGGTCAGGGGAAGGAGCCGGAGATCATGGTGCCGATTAAGAGTATTGCGAACGACGAGACGAACATCATTCTTGCGGGTGACAACAAGCAGCTGGGCCCCGTTGTTCACTCTCAGCTTGCCGGAAACCTAGGGTTGAGAGTGAGCTACCTCGCGCGTATCATGGATCGAGAGATATACGACCTCAAGAATGGAGGCTCGGGAGTAACGTACGTACCTTGCATGCGATTTTTGGATGTTGACTGACCTCCTCTCGCAGAATCGTGAAGCTTGTGAAGAACTTCCGATCGCATCCTTCGATCTTGCAGTTCTCCAATACTCATTTTTACAATTCAGAGCTGCAGCCATGCGGAGATGCTGCCTTGACTCGCAGCCTCGAGAACTACGAGGAGCTTCCGCGCAAGAAGTTCCCAGTCATCTTCCACGGAATTATAGGCAAGGACGACCGCGAGGCATCCTCTCCCTCTTTCTTCAACATCGATGAAGCTACTCAAGTGAAGAAATACTGTCTATCACTCATCAGTAACCGCAAGAATAGCATTCGTGAGTGTCCTGGTTTATCATGCTGCGAAAGCGATTAATGATGTTTGTTTAGGCGCTGAGGACATCGGTGTTATCACTCCATATCATGCTCAGAGGTGTAAAATCCTCGACCTGCTGAGAAAGGATTTCAGGATGCAGGACATCAAGGTTGGAAGCGTTGAGGAATTCCAAGGTCAAGAACGACGGATTATCATCATGTCCACTGTGCGAAGTAACACGAACTACGTGACGTCTGATATTAAACGATCCCTGGGCTTCGTCGCCAACGCCCGTCGTCTCAACGGTAAGCCCCCACCAGTGTACTCATGGACGTTCACTGAGGCATGCTCTTATCGCAGTTGCGATAACTCGGGCTCAAGCGCTCCTCATTGTGATTGGCAACCCAATCGTCCTGTCACTTGACCCGCTCTGGAGGGAGCTGCTCAATTACATTCACATCAATGGGGGCTGGGAAGGGAAACAGCTCGACTGGAACCCGGAGGAGGCAGTGTCGGCAGAAGCAAGGTTCGCAGAAGATAGGCGGACGAATGCTGAGCGGGAGGCGGAGGAAACGATTCAGAGGTTGAAGGCCATGATTGTGCAGAGGCATGAGGATTCGGACTTGGAGATCGATTTTGACGATGACGACGACGACGATGAGGCTGCTGCGTTCGAGCGACCCATCATTCGTGAATCTGAGTGAGATTGTTCTGGGAGATGAGGGTGAGGGCCCATCCTTTTGAAGTTGGAGAGATCTAGTGTTGTATATAGTCTTGAAATGTAAGATTGGCAGCATCGAGCCAGCAAAGTGATGTCCAACATGCTTCGTAACCAGAAAGAGAAAAGTATACATTGTATTTACACCGTCTCTAGATCATACCCAGTAAAATCAAACCACGTAAACAAAGCTCGAGGACTTGCAACTCTATCCCAGTAGATGCCTTTTTGTGCCCTTTCCGTCTATTTTGTAGTTCCATTCAGAAGAGCCATGGCCCAACTAAAAGAAGTATTTCATCAGAACCGTGAACCAACTTGGGAAAATGACCAATTACCTCGCCCTCTTGGCCCCTCTGGCTCAACCTGCAAACACCGTTGATGAATGAGGTTCAAAGCCTTCATCGCGTCTCTCCCCTCAATAACACATGAAATGTTGATCTCGCTCGCTCCTTGGCTGATCATCTCAATGTTGATGTTACCCTGCGCGAGGGTGGAGAACATCTTCCCTGCGATGCCGACCATATTGCGCATCTGCTTCCCTACCAACGAGAGGATGGCCATCTCACGGTGGATGGAGACCTGTGTGTGTGGGGGGCGTTTTCAGTGTGTGAATGTATGTGGATGGTTCGGGGGAAAGACTTACAGTCCCGCTCTTCTTGAGCTCTTTGATCAGTCGATCGAGCAACTTCTTGGCTAGCCCGTCTTCAATGGCCATACTGACGTGCACCTCACTGGTGCTGATCAAGTCCACCACAACCCCAAATCGGTCAAGTGTGCCAAAGATCCCTGCAAGGAAACCATGAGAAACACTCTTTCTGTTGGAATTGACGTTGAGCACTACGATGTGCTCTTTGATAGTAACGGCTGTCGGAAGCCGCTTGCGTTCCACAAGCGATGATGACTTGGGAGACGCAGGCTCCGAGTCTGCGTCTGTGTCAGGGTGGATAACTGTACCACCACCACTAGGGTTCTCGACGTTCTTGATCCTTATGGGGATCTTACGTCTAATAGCTTGCTCCATAGTGAACGGATGGACGACCTCGCTCCCGTAATATGTCAACTCCGCAGCCTCTTCGGGGGAGATGACGGGGATGAGGCGCGCAGTGGACACTTTGCGTGGGTCTGCGGTGAATATTCCGTCGACCTCTTTCCAGATCTGGAGCTCTGATGCCTGAAGACCAACTGCGAGCAGGGCGGAGGCAAGATCGGTGTACCCGCGCCCGACTTGATGGAGTAGAGAGCCTGGGACGGGGCCGAAGAACCCGGTGACGACGGGGACGCGGGGACCGCATTGCTTGATGCGTTCGCCCAGTGCATCGGCGAGCGAGTCGTAGAAATCTTGTGTGAGTGTTGTTGTTTCGTCGCTGTCGTCGAAGGGAGGGACAACGTCGTCCAGTGAGACGTACTCAGCGTCGATTCCCTGTTAGATCAATGTGAGAATAAAGTCACAAGAGGAAGAGAAGAAGCTGACTTGATCCCTGAGAACTGCTGTCATGAATTTACACGCCAGTTGTTCGCCAAGGCCAATGATGTTATCCTTGGATCTTGGGGATATCTCATCGATAATCTGAAAGGATGTTACGAATCGGCATAAGGTAACAGTAGTCAAATAACTGCAATGTTGAAATGGGGTGGACCAAACATACCTTTGCTGCGAAGAGGTAGCTTCGAAGCCATTCGCAGTCCCTGTCAATCTCCTCCTGAAGCTCCAGGAGTATTTCTGGATCGCGAATAGACGCCTGTGCAGCGTTGATGTGCTCCTGCCTTAGGAGCTCCACCGTCGCATGGAACTTGGGTAGTGTCTGTGTGCATTGGGAATCTGCGTTGATGGGGGTGAATCCAAACAAAGGCTGTGGGGACGTAGATCGGGATGATCTGCTCCTTGATTGGGGGCTCATTGGTGGCGACTGCGATCCGTCTGAACCGGTCCCACCAGCACCAAACAGGCCCCTTGTGATCGGTGTCGATGTGCCCGGAGTTCCTGCTGGTTTACTTCGCCGCTGAAGTGCCTCTGATGATGCACGCAGCAGGAGGTTCGTAGTCCCTAGGGCTTTTGTTGAACCTGATCGTGCAGAGCAGACGATAGCGACCTTATGTTGGTCGATGTAATTTCTGTGTAACACGTTGATTAAAATGGCTCCTTGAAAAACTCATGGCACGCACGAAACAATGTCTTCAGCAATCTTGACTGCGAACTTCCCGACGCTTGTGCCTCCAAATTTTTGGACGAGCCATTTCGCAGATGGGTCGGCGGTGTTCTGATGCAAGTTAGGAGGCGTCCTAGGGAGTGAAGCCTCCGACGAGAACGACGAGGAGCGCGAGGAAGGCGTCGAGCAAGGATCAGACATGGACGAAGAGGACGAAGGGGATAATTCTATGGGAAGTGGGGGCGTTTCCATGAGTTGTGGTTGCGCTATTGTAACAATTTTGTGGTTCGAGTTCAGACTTCGCGAAGATTTAACTTGACTCATTTTTCACGTGACTGAAACGACCCTTTGGAAAGTGACTACAGTTGCGGACAAACAAATACATCAAATTTATTCTACCATTTATGTCTGTCACCACATGAGTTTAAACCCACTAAAAAGCATTGAAATAGAAAGGATTACATCTAATTCATCCATTTGCACGAGCAGAAATTTCAATTTCGACAATCTGGCCAAAAAATCACCCAAAAAATTGGCGTGTGTCGAAAAAAATCGCTAAAATCTCGAAAAATTCATTGTTGAACAGCTTTTGAGGAATGGATTCTGATCCCAAAAAATTAGAACTTTCTTACGAGCTGTTCTCGCATAAAATAATACCCAAGTTGGCTCTAAAGTGCAAACAAGGGACCATTTTTATAGTGTGAATTTTATGTGAATGTACCTTTTTACCCATAACTGTCAAAATATGATGGGTTACTGGTGCATATCGTCTCAGGTTGGTGGGGGCCGAGTAACTTTGGAGTCATCAGCGTGGTTTGGCACTGCAGGACCCTCTTGACAGGCCAAAAAGTTGCGAAATTTTGGCCAAAAAATTTGGCGCCGCCAAAACCACGTGGGAATTTCATAGAAACAGTGTTTTTAGGCTGTATTCGACCGTCCGGATTCAAATCTGCCGTCGGTTTTTGCCAGAAAATTCGCATTCCTGAGATACCCGATTTGATGTGTTTGTTTGTCCGCAACTGTACAACCTTCAGCTTGAGTTTAGCTCTATTACTCCCTAAAACCCCGTATAGTCAACGTTCAAGGAGTCCCTATGGTGCTACCAGAATTGCCGAAGGTCCAAACATTTCTATGCTTTTGCAAGACGTCTCCAAGATCTGTACTAAGTACAGCCTAGCGGGTCCCTAGGGCTAGCCTTGCCCAAGCCTTACCTCGCAGCACGGTGGCCTGTGTTAATCTAGTGTTACTCTTTACTCTCGAATGCCGACTCTTTGTCAATCAGCTGGTCCTCACCGGCACCTCTGAGGCGTTTTTTCGCATATTAGGCGGTATCTTCCTGGGGCGGTTCTCCGACAACTGATCCTCGGAGCTCCTTTTCCGATGATGAGGAGCGTCGGCCGCTCTACCGTTTATCGATTCCGACCCGCAACACACCGACGTATCTCATGTTTCTATAGATTCGGAAGGCCTCACGATTTGCTAGCGTTTTTTTGTCGGGGTGCCCTCTGAATCACTCTCACTCTAAAGCCTGATGAACTCCCCCAGGCCTAGGGTGTCTGTTGTGGCACGCTTTTTACCGAAAGCTTAACGGGCTATTATAGCCATAGTCCTGGCTTCCAGTAGGCATCGTGCACTCTACATAGTCAGAGAAGTTGCGATCGAGTCAAGAAAATGCATCCTTTTGGCACTCTATACAGGTCAGAAGCCCTGGAAGGCGGGATCCCGTTTCTTGACCAATGGAGGCGTTTCAAGGCGTAATGCTTGAGAATGAAACTAGGCAAACAGTGGAGTGGCTAGAATCCCAGCAGTAAGATGCCTCCATAGCTTTTTCCGATTTCCTGGAGTAGTCTTGAATATTGAAGCTGACGAGGGAATGAACAGTGGCAGCCAGCCAGTAACAGAGTTTCTGAAAGCCATTGAAAGGTTGGCCAGAGAAGCAAGTGCGGCCTGAAAACGTGTATTCTGAACTCTGAAAAAATGCCTGTGGAGGGTTTATTGCTAATAAAAAAATCAGAACGATGCCAGAAACCTCTCGCGAGCTTTCACGAAAAACATCTTGGAAAGAAACGGATCTGGGCGCAATATGCACCGTGAGGAGCGTAATTGTTCCGACTGGTATTTCCTACTGTGACCTTACAACAGTCATCTTTGTAAAGCATATCTGAACAGGCGGAAGTTATCCGCAGTGTTCAATATTGGTTCAATATCATCTTCCTGAGATACCTTCTGACATTGTACCATAAAAGCCTAAAAAGACATCTAGTTCCATATATTTAAACAATGAGTAAATACAGCAAACCTCTACCTTTAAGTACAAGTCCTCCAGATAGAAAGGACAAGATCACCAGAATGTCAGTCAAATTCCGGATTATTCGTTGCCAGTGCTTCCTTTGCAACAACGACCAACTCCCGTAAGGATGCTGTTCGTGATCATCAGCAAAACTGTAAAGAAGTAATACAATGATGAATTGAGAACCCACCTTCTACGCTGGACATGCGCAATTCCCACTGAACAAATAAAGAAGACTTCCGTTAATAAAGTACACAGCCAGTTCAAAGACGTAACTGACCCCTTCAACCGAGCTGACTTCATTTCCAGTTAGTCTATCAGGATTTATTAACGCGGTATCCGCGCCGAGCAATGACTGTACATGCTGAACATGCTGTAAGATGTGATGTGCCAGTGCCCCGACTGACGCTTCAGTGGGCGATCTCGTACGCCTTAAGTCGGAACGAAGTATCCGGATTGGGCTGGGATGATGGCTATCATGACCACTCCTGGCGGAAACGGACGCGTGTATGGCGTCCATGTTGAGGGATAGAGGTAAAGGAGGTTCGACCTCCTCAAAGCTGACGGATTGCCCAGCTTGGGGACTTTGATCGTCGATATCAGCCGATTCGTGGGGAGTAAACATTTCTGCGTTGGTAGACATGGATGTTATCTGCTCTCCAAGTCGGCGGTTGACCGTGGACAGAATAAACGAGTGGTCTACCGCCGTGCGAGAGTCTAGGAATCGTTGCTGAACGGTATCACGATCAACAAAAGCATTCAGCCTCCGCTGGTATACCTCGGCGCGGATAGCACTCTGATATTGCTTTGAATATGCTTCGGAGACAACTGGAGAAGTTCAGGGACGTCAACATTCCGGAATGAAAAAAACGTGCGTTGATCCACTTACTCGATATCAGAATAGTCATGGCGCCTACTCCCAAAAGCGCCCATACAACAAAAATAGAACGACCGGCTGGTGTGCGAGGTGAGAAGTCCCCTGAGATGGCGTCAATAGAGGCGCCAAAAATTGACATTAGCGAAATTACTTGCCATATCCTAGCGTGGTGAATGCTACGAAACCTAGATAAGGCGTTCAGTAAAATGCGTCATAGAAGAGCAGAATAAAATCATACAAAAATACACAGCTTGTCCAAAAGTCCAACTCTCGGTAGTCATAAAGATGGCGGAGCCAGCCTAATCAAAAGAACTCAATTTAGTCGGAAAAATTAAAGCGATCGTTATGAAAAAAAAACTGACCATCCAGAAAAGAAGGAAGAGCCCAAAGGCACACGATAAACGGGCATAAAAAGCAGCCTTCTCTTCCGCCTCCACCGTAGCCTCAAATAGATCCGGCTCCATGGTTGTTGTCCGCGTGAATGGTACACCGTGGCCACGTCCACTGGCAATGCCTTCTGAATCGTCTTGATCGTCGTCATCCGTGTCGAAAACTGGCGTTTCTGAATTTCTACCCGAGCTGTGGCCCATAGCCAAAGCGAACCTCCCAAGCATAGCTATCATACCGCCAATACGAACATACGTCAACGGCTCTTGCCCACTATCCAAAGCGACGCCAACAACTCTAGGACTGTAGCCGGCAGGCAAGAGGTTAACGAGAGGGGCGCCAGCTTCCAGCGCAGCAGCTTCCAATTGCGCCAACGTCAGACCTTCGATGTTGAGGCGTTTACGGCGTGGGCCAGGCGTGTACTTCCACGTTGCTTCAGTCTTTCGTTTGAGGCAAAAGATATTCCACCATCTATCCATCGATTTATCGGCAACCCACACCGGCAGCCTTCTAGCTCTCAATCTCCATTTTACAGCCTTTCTCCAGCGCAGGTTGATCCGTCGCTCGCGATCACGCACGCGGATGGCACGCATGCGTGCTTGAAGATTCACGGAGACTGCCTCCATGATAGCGTCGCGTGATAGAGCCACGGCGAGTGCGAGGTTGATAATTCCGAATGTGACGTAAGTGCAGACGATCACGTAGGAAATGGGGGTGTTGGGGTGGATGTCTCCAAATCCTAATCAACGCCAGTGAGGACGCGTGAAACTTTGGAATTTCGAGAGAGCATACCAATGGTTTCGATTGAAACGACGGTCAAGTACAGCGCGTCAATAAATGAAAGCTTGAGGAGGAAAGCCAAGATGAGGGCGCCAATGGCGATGTAACACAGCAGGATGATGACTATAATGACCAACGAACGCTGCTTGTGAGTTAATCCACTCCCTGAAAACGCATTGGGTGAGCACTCAAAAAGATACGCAGTAGGTCCATACCACTATTATCAAAACCGGGAGTTCTAAAATAGTCAATCATCAAGGTGACGTTTGTGATAGTTGATGCAATGGTGGAGCAAACAGTCATCCAGAACGCCTGCCCATAGGTGAACCCATCATCGAAACGATGCTGCACACCAAAGATCGTCACAACGGTAATATTAAAGATGTCTAAAGCGTCAAGTTAGCCAGAACGCGTACATCAATATCCGCGGGGGAGGGAACTGACCATGGACCGTAAGGAAAATTATGCAGAGCAACGTCATTAATTTTACTTTTCGCTCGGTAAACCGAGACACCAGACACGCGCAAGCGACAAGCGCACAAGTCATGCTAGTGGCGATCGCGACATCCAGCAGGCGAGGGTTCGGCCTGGTCTCGATCAGCTTGCCATCGGGCCCCGTTCGGACATACCAATGCTCAGTGAGGCTCGGAATGGAGAGGAGAATGGAGAAGGGGACCACGATGCCGGAAAAGATGGGGAAAATGCGGTACGTTGGCGTTTGCGTTTTTTCTTGGCCCGAGGAGTGGTGATTGGACGGCGACACCGTGCCAAGGCTGTTGGTCCATGGAAGCGAGTGGATTCGCCGACAAAATGCCCCGAGCCTATTGTTTGTTGAACGCATATCCGATGGTTCTTCCGAGTCGTCGCCCGTGTCTATATACCCTTGTCTTTGAAGGGCTTCATTGCGTTCACCTTCGTGAAACATCTCAAAGATGCGCGAGAGGCTGCGTTTAGGCGTGGTACTAGTGCTTGTGGAGGGCTCTTCGGGTGATGATGAGCTCTGTACATGAGAATCAAAGCCTGCATTCTTCTCAACGTCGACGTCCTCTTGGAGCCGCTCTTCCGAGTCCCCCCCTTGTGCATTGAACATTTGCTGGAACGTTTTCACTGGCACCAACATCTTGAGTCATACCTAGAATCAAAAAGCCATTTTTAGCGCACACGACCTTTTTATGAAGTTAAAACGACCCTCCCTTTCTTAGCGAAGGAGAGTAAAAGAACCACCGTCGACTCACCCTATAGATCGTACCGGTCGAGCGAGGAAAGAGGAAGGAGGCTGAAGAAGAAGTTGTGGGGATGGAGCAAAAAGTATCACCGCAGCAATGTGAAAATTTTGAAGCTGGATCCAAACAACCTCGTGGGACGGACTAGCGCATGCATGTCAATGGAACTGTCAATTCTCAATGATGTCAATTGTGGTGGAGGGGTGGGGGTGGTCAGGAGGTCAAAACTCCCTTGTGCATGAGGAACCACTAGAGAAACAAATGGGGAAACGTGCATGGGGAGCAAAAAATCTTAGAATAGCAACAAGATGTAACGCCCATTTTCGATTGGTGACCCTGCAGGGGGAATCCATTATCCCACTAATCTGCTTCGGCAAGGTGTTACCGGCATTCGGCTGCGCACCCATAGATAAGTTATAACCTCGATGGGTGAATAGCCTCCGCCTCCTTAGATGGTGCTTGAACATGGTGTGCAAGGAACTTATCTTCCAAGTTTCGTTGTAGTTGGTCCAGGCTTCAACTTGTTTAGGTTCAAAGCTTAATCGATGAACAGTTTCAAGCAGCCGAGCAGCAAAGATCATCCGAGTCCACCTGGGAAGAAAACAGCAATACCCTGAGCAGTGAGCTCGCGCGAGGCCGAGTCCGAAGTCCAGTTGTTCAAGTAATCCGATGGATTGCTTCGCGGTAAGGGTGGGCAGTGTCAATGAGTCAGCGGGGAGCCTGAGATGACGCGTGGGTGGCGGGGCAAAAAGCCGATCAACTCAAAATCTTTGCGGCCATGCGTCACTCAGGACAGGCACTTCTGCCAAACTCTGTTACCGAATCGGACGAGGAGCCCCAATCATCGTCCGAAGCTTGTCCACAAGATCCTTTGCTAAAAAGACCGTCTCATTTTCCTCCTCATAACGTGTTGAGCTGTTCATCAATAGGCTCCAGGATGCAGATGTCTGCGGGGTGTAAAGAAGTGGCGACATATTGTTATAAACTCGTGTCAGAATATTTTAACATCGACGGCGGTCAGCGCAGACGCGGGTACAGTACGGGTACGTTGCCAATTATATACAAACGTCTGCTGTACTAGCTACCGTACTATGCTAGTTATAAAAATAAAAGGCTCCAAAGCCCTGAACTGGGATATACCGATAGATACAGGAGGTATACGTGTATGTATGCGAGTGGGAGAGTGTCGGGGATGCTATGTACTATGCCGATGATATGATGATGGGGGGAAAGGGGGACGAATATAGGTTACTCGATAAATTATGGCAACAGGGAGTGACCAGCTTCATTTTCACGGCAAACACCGTTGTTTGTCCACCTGCCGAGTTGCGTGACGGACATAACTATTACAAAATACTATTTTCCCACAATAGTTACCTTCGTAAAATGTTGAGCACTTAATAGTTTTGAGTGCATCAGAGATGGTAAGTACACAATCTCCTGTCTATTTGCTTTTTAAAATTGTTTGTTAGCTTTCTATTATGATAATTCTGCTAAATTGTTCTTTACCAACACTGTCCAGTCACATTATGCTGTTCAAAAAATTAGTCAAAAAGAAATTCAAAATTCTTTTTCAGCCACTGTGCAATGGTGAAGAAAACTTCAGCAGTTAAGAGTGAAGAAAGAAATTTGATTCTCTTCACCACAAATCTGCAGCACTCCTCATGCTGCATAAACCAGCAAAAAAAGCTACTTTTAAACTAAAATGCCTTTAGTATCATTGAAATTCTGGGGGATAAGTTATTGTAAGTCCTGTAATAATTACAAGGACTCAAAAGGGAATAAATCTTCTAGTACATTTGCAAATCACTGCTTTTCCCAGATGTTATACTTTGAATGAGGTATTTTTTACTTTGCAAACATGGAGGGTAAAGACATGACTGTAATGGAGAAGCAGCATCAGCAAGAAAGGACATTCAGCAGCTCATCAATTAATTTGTGGAATACAAGAAAATATGTAGAGTGAACATCCTAGTGGGAGTTTAAAACATAAACCCATAGTCCTTAAACTTGCAGTAAGGATATTCAAAAGATTCTCTCAGCTACCTTACCACCATTCTGAAAAATTTCAAAGTTTGCAGATGGAACCATGACATGAAACAAATTCCAATACATTTTTTACTAATCCTTTGACCTGGATTGAACCTCTTATAGTTGGATAAATTGCAACAGGCTGAAAGCTGGGTAACATTGGTAAAAAACAATTCAGAAGGTTCAGTACCATGATACAGAACTGACAAACAAATTTCCAAACTAAATAGGCAGGAAATTGTGTACTCATCATCACTGATGCACTCTCAGAACTGTTGTTTTCAGTGGATGCTTGACATTTACGAGCCACAAGTAGGTAAATTATCGTGGGAAAACAGTATTTTGTAATAATTATACACAGCAGCAACTCGGCAAGTGGACAAATAACGGTGTTTGCCGAGAAAACGAAGCTGGTCACTCCCTGTTGCCATAATAAATCAACACAACATCTTCAAGAAACAAGAAAAAAGGAAATGGGAATGGGGCTGGTTAGCAGTCTAACCTTTCACGGTATATTCACATTTTTTTGGGGGGAGGGGGAGGCGGGTTGGTTGTTGAGATGCGATCTTGAGCTAAGTTTGTACAGTAGTTCCAATTGAACAATTTAAAAGCCTGAAGGCTGAGCGCGTTGCAGGCCAGGGCACAGGGTACTTGATGTGGCGGTTCTTCAATCTCCAAAACGTTGCAAGGAACCGTGGCGGGATTCTTCAATCTTCAAAAATAACAACATGCTGAATCTTGACGTGTTGCAGGTTGTTGCAGGGGTAAGTACCTGACATGACGGCGGATCTTGAGTCTTGATGCGTTGTGTTCAAATGCTCAACTCTCATCGGACAGGGACGTCTTGCGCATCGTCCGCCTCAGCTGGCATCCCACACGGGATCTTCAAAGTAAGAATCCCATCCACCATGGACGCATCAATGTCTTCACGCTGAACACACGCGTAATGATAGAAAGGGGGGCAACCAGAGGGGAAAAAAAAAAGGGAATCAAAATTAAAAACTCACGATTAAAACACAAAAGAGATAGAGGGTGGGCGAAAATGGAGTATGCACAGGGGAGGGAAGAGAAGAAAGGGAGAAGAAGCGCACTTTAGTTTCACCCGGCACAGCGAACGTTCTCGAAAATTCACCAAACTTTCTCTCTCTCACAGTCAAATCACTTGGTCCCTCTCCCTCTTCAGGGGGAAAGCCAACCACAGGAAACACAGGCCTCGTACGCCCATACACCGTCACCTGCTTCACGCGGTTATAATAACACGTCGAAAGGATCACCCTCACTTGACTCTTTTTCACGCCGGGCAGCTCAAGCATTGCTGTTAGCGTCTTGGAACTTGGATCGTAGTGGATGTCTGAGCGGATGAGGTACCGCGGTCTTCGGGGAGGAGAGCGGGCAAGGGGGTCTTCGGTGGAGCGGGGTGAGGAGGCCATGAGGGTTGAGGGGTTGTTGGGGGCGGGGGAGCTGTCATTGTCGGTCATCGTCACGTTCAAGTCGACCATCATCAAAGGAGGAAAGAACGCACCTAACGGAAGACCCAAAACTCGTAATCCGACTACCAGGCGAAGGAGCAAGCGGTGAGGGCCTCGTAGACGACGAAGCAGCAGCAGCACTCAAAGGCGGCACCTGCGCAGCAAACCGAACATGATGCTCACGCGGCGGTAAATGCTGAGACTGCGGCTGCTGCCTCGCGCTCGCCGGGCCCGTCGAGGGCCTCCGATACGGATGGGTCAGTTGTTGAGCTTGATGGCGCACTGAGCGAGTGGCCATTGTTGAAGATGAGGTGCCGGCTGGAGAGGGCGATGGTCTTCTGCTAGAGTGTTTCGAGTCAATGTCAATATAAGGGCCGAGCGGGGGCGTGCGTTCGGGAACTACTGGCGGAAGATCTGACCTTCCAGAGGAGTCGTGGCTGAGCATGGCGTGATGGACTGGATGCAGGAGGATAGGCGTGTCGTCGTGAGCTGTTGCTTGACTTGGAACTATATGTGGTGGCTCTTCAAGCTGTATTGTCTGATACGGTGTAGGCTGTGTAGGCGAATGTTGTATCAGGTCCCCTTGAGGTTGCTGCTGCTGCTGTTGCTCTTCAAGTTGCTGCATTTCACGTTCAATAGTATCCCACTGTGGATGATATGGCTCGTGTGGTGTAGAAGGCGTTGAATAATTATCAGCTGGAAATTGTCCAAATGGATACGACATGACAAGGGTCTTGAAAAAAAAAAGAAGGAAAGACGCGCCTTTATATGTGTACACGCGCCGTCACATCGAGTCACACGAACAATGCCCAACACGAGGCAAGGACCCCGGAAACCGCCGACCTCCCCGCCAATCAGCTGCGAGCGGGAGCATGCGTTTGGGGTCTTGGCGCATCACCGCCCCGTCGGGAGCGTTGAACAGCATTATACTCTAAGTAGCCAATTACGGTGAACTATAAGATACACAAGAAGAAGGTTACTACGAGAGAAGTTGAACAAAGTAGTTGTACAAATTTAAGTGACTACCCAAAAACACGGTGGACATGTAAATCATCACACCTCGCCAGCGCCCTTCACATCCTCATGGACTTCACCTCGTTCATCATCAACACCACCCACCTCAACCGGCGCCGCCAAACCATGACTATGACTCCCCGCCCGACTCCTCGAAATCGATAACAAACTCCCCGTCTCCGCCACCCTCGCCCCTCCCCGATCCACACTCGCCCGTCGACTAGCAGCCCCAGACCCAGAACCCGGACCCCCAACAACCCACCGATCAACGCTCCCCCTCCGCGCATTCGAGTTCCGTCGACTAAGCGGCTCGATGGGGGACAGCGAATGCTCCCTGTCCCTGTGCGGCATGTGATATGATACACTTGGAGAGCCAAAGGAAGATGAGAGCGACGGGGGAGGGACTGAGGGGTAGGAAAGACCGCGGTTGTTATACGACATCGTCGTAGATACGTTGGCGTTAGTCAACGACGACGGCGGAGTCGTAATATTCGTCGTTGAACTGAGAAAACTCGCAGGATTGGTTGATGATCCGATGGGGGAGAACGGGAACGGCGATTCGGAGGAGGACGGGGAGTGCGATAACGGCGTATTACTTTCCGATGTATTATTCGTCGGTCTGTGTGCGTGCGAGACGGGTAGACGCGGGATGGGGACACCATGCGCATGGGACGATGATGTGCGTGGGATATGGTGTGGGATGTGATATATCGACATAGAAGGGGACGACGTGTTGGAGAACGACGACCGACGGTGGTGGGTAGGCTGCGAGAACGGGTCAGGGGACGGCAGTCCTATCAGATTGTCCACCGACAACCCCAGCTACAAAAACAGAAATTCAGCATCATCCCTTCAATGAACATAACATAACCCCCATTGAACTCACCCGTCGTCGATGCTCAATCAACTCCTCCCGGTAAATCTCATTAAGCCTCGATATCCGAATATAATCCCTCTCCGTATCCACAAGCCTATTCCTCAGCTGTTCATTCTCACGACGCATGGCCTCAAGCATCGCTTCCCCACTGGGGTCCCCACCACCACCCGACATGAACGTCCGGAACCCCGGGGACGTACTCACGCTCGTCGACCCATTCTGCTGTTGTTGGGCTAGCCTTAGAGCAGTAAGCTCGCGAGACATCCTATTAACATGCGATTCCGACTCTGCCTCCAGCGCATTCTCCAGTCCAATTTTCTCCTCTCTTAGCTAGAGGGTGAAAGAGGGTAATGTAAGGTAAAGAAAGCACGACGGGAGGAACGTAGCTCACCTGCTCCAATTTCCTAGACAAAACATTGATAATCCGTTCTTCCTCAGCTTCATACGCATTGATCAGGTCTTCTTGCTTGCTAGTGGCACTAGCTGCTGAACGGATACGGTGGGGTGGGGAGAACGACATCGATTCAGATATCAAGGGGCAGCAAAGGAAGGAAAAGCGGCGATACGCAGTATAAATATGAGTTTGAGAAGATCGAGGTAGGTAGCAGGAAGTTGAGGGTCGACGGTCTGGCTTTTTACGTGGTATAAGACAAGTAGTAACCAATACCTCCGACTAGCCGGATATGACGGCCTTTTGATGCGATCATACAAAAAAAAAGTACGTCACTCGAATACTTACTCGGTTCAAAGCTCGTAACTTATCGTGGGTCAAAAAAACCCACAAGAATCCTCAGAACGATAAAAACCTCCCTCTCAACCACAGCATTCCATACGTAAAACCGCCTGCAGGCAAAGGAACGTGCAGATCCTTCCCTAAGCCCCAATCAAAAAACAGCAATCCGCGACCCCATCTGAGAGTCCTTCCATCATGCCTCGCAAATTGAAATGAAAATTGAAAGTGTGGGGACGATACGAAATGAACGCAAAGTCCGCAACGATATCCGAAACCACGAGGTCCCCTCCTTCCTCGGGTTTGGATCCGCCCTGGATGCATCGAGAGGGAACTGCTTGTCGTGTAAACGACGCTCAACAAGCCGAAAGCCCGGCAAATACGGTGCCTCGGGTGTTCTCCAGACGAATCCAGGACTATCCATGACTATCCAGGACCTATCCAGGACATGCATGCTTCCACCCTAGATATCGAACACTTGCCAAGTTCTCTGGGGGCGTTGAGTGCACCCGTTTGAACGGGCGGAGCATGAGAAGATCGACGTTTCGTGAAGGCACAGGGGGCCAGTGTGTGAAAGCTTGCTTGTAAACATGAGTATGTATTTCTCGGCCGAACAACCTTAAAAGTTAGATGTCATCGGCGGTCAGAACTGGTAGAGCGTTATCGGGCAAAGTCTCTTAATGTCTATGAAGAAGTTAGCTTATACCAAGCCAAGCGTGGTCAACAACGCACCTTGGCGTCCAAGTTGCGACTCCATTTCGTAGGCTGCAGAAGAGATTGAAAAAGTCATATTGGTACTGAGATTCGCACCCAACAAGCTTCTGAGAAAGGTTGGCCAACCAGCCTACCACCACCACCATACCTCAAAGCGGAGAACACTCCCTCCTCAACCACTCCAAAGCCCTCGTATCACCCTTCAACAAAGGCGACACCTTATCCCACGTCTCAGCATGATACTCATCAAGCCACTTCTTCTCCTGCTCATTCAACAAGCTCACATCAACCAAGTTCTTATGGATTGGACACCTATCCAGAACCAATTAGCCTTCCCTTACCCTTCATCGAAGAACGAAAAAACTGACATGGTAACATTCTCAAAACCAAGGTATCCCTTATCTCCAAAGTTATTCGGGGTCTTCACTTCACGCACGAGAACGATACTCTCAATTCGGATACCGAATTTGCCGTCGGCGTAGTACCCTGGTTCATTTGAGACGGTCATCCCGGCTTTTAGAGGTGTGTTGTTGAGGGCTATGAGTTGGTTGAGTTGGTTGAGAAACTGAGCGACAGATTCGTGATTAAGGGAAAGCCACTGACCTATTCGCACACCAATCCCATGAGGCCCTTCATGGACATTCAGGAAGTGGCCGACGCCATGTCCAGTGCCGTGCCTAAGACGAGATGAGCATTTCGTTACAGCCTTTTACAACGAATTTCGTCACCGGTAATCTAAAAGGGAGTGTTCAGTCGTAATTCGAACAAGGAACCTTCGGGAATGGACATACCAAGACCATCCTGCCACAATGCTCGACGAGCAAAGGCGTCTCTGTAGCATACCATCGAATCAGCTGCGTACGTTTGTGGGATTCATTGAAAGGCCTCACATCACGTAGCCAGTGGTTCCATTGGGAAAGACCGCCGTGTCAATGGCAATGTGTCCCTGCAAAACCCGAGTGAAAGCTCGTTTCTCTTCATCAGTCGGAGTGCCGAAATGCTAAAAGAAACATCACATGAGGGTCAAAGATGGTGAGTGATGCAGAGGGTTCTTGCCCATGTTCTCGTGACGTCAGTTGTACCATCAAGGAATTGGCCTGAGAGGAGAGAAAGCATGAATGACTGTGTTAGTGAAAGAGGACGTCACGAGTTACCTCCTGAATCACAAAGATAGACCTTGATTGAACAGACGATAAGAACGTGGATCATAGCATTTGAGCAGACGATACCTGATCTTTCTTGATGATAGCACAGTCATTAGGATCCGGCTTGTAGTGAATGATAGCTATAACAACATCAGAGTGGGTAACCCATAACCCAAATACAACCAACGAACCTCCGTTAGGACCGGTACCCGAGATTGTATCGAAGGACAAGCCACGAAAGAGGTCGAGTTCCCTATCATGTCGATCAGTGATCAGCCTTGACGAATCCTTGCAAGATGGATCACTCACGATCGGAACGCTTCCAGCTTATCAGCACCTTGACTCTCGTTGATCACAGTCCCATGATTGAGCTGCTCCTCCAACCACGCAAAGTACCGAACAAGAGCAGCACCATCGCGGATGTGGCTCTGCCTAAAACCTTCCAGCTCCGTTTTGTTCTTGATGGCTTTGAGATCGGCGATGGGAGAGCGAACAATCGTGTAGTTGTCCTTCCCGATAGCATCAGCTACCGCTAAGCTTGCTCTGTCTCCTATCAAGACTTTCTAAGAAGAAAAAGACGATGGTAATGTGGTTGTAGCTGAGGTGATGATGTGAAAGAACGAACCGAATCCCTGTCCAACTCCAAAGTGCGTGAAAGACTGTTGAGATGCTCGAAAATGGCCTCGTAAGGCATAGTGTAAACATGTTCAAGATTGTGCCGCGCCGTATCGTCCAACTGCGCACTGTCGATGAAGAGAATCACTTCGTCCATCGTAACCACTGCATACGCAAAGAACACTGTATGAGGCTTAATTAGTTATACAGAGCAGGCTCACGAATGCTAAGCATACCGGGATTGTATTCGATATCAGAACCACGAAGATTCAAGAGCCAAGCCACCTCATCAAGCATTGTCACCACAATAGCCTCGGCTTTTTTCTTCTTCATCTCTTCACGCAATGTCGCAATCTTGTCAAGGTGAGACTGGCCAGAATACTTTACGTCGAGATGGAACACGGAGTTCTGAGGGCGCGAGGGCCGGTCTTCGCCCCAGACAACGTCCACGAGGTTCTCTTTCAGCGAGACAAGTTTTGAATATTTGGGTGTCAGTTGTTTGGTTAGAGATTCCGCATCCGCTGCTCAAGGGTCTCGGTTAGAATGGAGGTATGGTGCGACTTGAGCAAGACGACATACAGGCTGCTAGGAGAGTTGCGTCGATGCCGATCTGGGTGTGGGGCCCCAAGTTCTTCAAGGGTGTTAACCCATCTGATTATCTAGCGAGACCATCCACGGCACACCTTGTAGAGAAAATCTTGCCATGTAGGAACATCTAAAGAATGGCTTGGAGAACGAAATGATTGAGAGGTGTGAGTGGGACATACCTGGAAGACCTTGCTTCATCAACTTCCAATTTCTACACATTGATCAGTCCTCGTCGACGTTATGGGAACGAAGTTTCAATCTCACTTGTCTAACTGTTTCTCAGCCTGAAGGAAGTAACGCCCATCAGTGAAGAGGTAGGCCTTGTCCGTAGTGATGATGGCGCATCCTGTAAGTCAAGAAACCATAAGTCAGAGTTCCACATAAATCGTCTAAAAAACTCACCTGCCGAACCATCGAACCCCGAGATGAAAGCTCTCCGCTTATCGCAATTCGCCAGGTACTCGCTCGAATCTGTCAAGTGTTTAACTCAGTTCCAAACTCGAAGGTTTCAAAGGCAAACGCAATGCGTACGTTGATCCTCGCTGGGAACCACAAAGGCTTGCACCGAGTGCTGCTTCATCAGCTCGCGAAGTTTAGCCAGGCGCTCGGTAGTGTTGACGGTGTGGACTCCATCCGCTCCCATCGTTGTGCAGGACGTCGTTACTGTGCGTAGAGATGGTGGTGGAGGTCGACGAAGCCCCTTTTCAGAAATTCGGAGCCAGATTGCCCTCCACATGACGGTACGGTCACGCCTAAAAATGGACTCAACATTGCCCTGGGACTGTCCCGAATTCTACCTCGACCCTTGCACGGATACCTGTATAAAACTCTGGGTGACCAGGCTCAGCCACGTTTCCTAGTCCGTAGCCGTACGACTATGATCATAGTACAGCGCTCGTGGACACCCTGGCACCCACCCATATTCTTGGTGAGTCCTGCATATCCTTATTAAACAGTCGCACAACGCCGTTTTGACTACGTTTTTCACTCTGCAGTATTCTAAAAATGCCACGCCCGGGGTGTCGTGCCAATATGTATATCTGCCTCAAAGTGTCCAGTTCAGATCTCTTGTGTTTTTGATCCCCATTGGTGCCTGCCCCGATTTTGTCAAGAACAATGATTATCATCATCCATCGATTCTTCGTGTCGATAAGGGCTTTTGGAACCCGTTTTTTGTAAAAAGGCATTGCCCTTTCTTGCTCTTGTCAGCGATATGGAACCGAACCATACCCATTTACAGCCTGAGAAAGCTCAGGACATCGTCGACTACCACTATGAAAAGTACATCAAACGGTTGGTCAAGACCCGGCAAAATCCTCCGGGAGACATCAATCTTTCTGCCAGCAAATGGACAGAGGGCCACCTCTACCTTCTTCGCGTTATTATTTCCGATGTCAGGTTGGAGGGCAAGGAGATGCTGACATCATTACATGACAAGAAGGCTTTTAAAAAGGCGAATAAACATATAGAGACCAACAACCGGCTTCAGAGCGCATTAAGTGCTCTAAAGGGCTCACAACACCACCTCCCCAACACACATATCATGATACTCCTGGAGGAAAAGGGTATCCCTCAGGCTTTCAGCTTTTACGCGAGTCTTAGGGACCAGCTGGAGCCGATGGTGCATTATTCTCCGGATGACCATGACATTGACGAAGAGGCTGACGTCTCAGAGGTCAACGAGCGAAAAGATGAACGCGTCCCAAACTACATTTATAACCTTCTTCCGCCAGCACCCGCGACCCCCGCAATCGTAATGACAAGGCTAGCAACCAAGCTTGCAAATGAAGAACGAGAGAGGGTTAGGCTGGGCAATCGGGACCGGGAGGAGGCTGAGCAAAAGAAGCAGCAGGACCTTGCTGAGGAAGAAGAGGAGAAGCGGCGCATGGAAAGGGACGACACGGATGGTCTTAACTTCCTCAAAGATATGGATTTCGAGGGCCCCTCGATAAGCTCCATCATTTCCAATGATGAGGAGACTGAGAAGGAAAGGGAAAAAGACGAGCTTGTCACAACGAAAATGGTGGATGTTTTCATCACACTCATCTTTACACTCTTTTACAGGTCCGGGAACGACGCTTCAATAAAGATAAATAAGGGCAAACTCTTGCAGATGAGTCCAGGTTCTCGCCAATCCTATCGACACTTTTCTCTTGCCCAAAGGTTTTACAAGGTGAAAACCCTTTTCGGCAACTTTAATTCAAAGACGGATGGCGGGGTATACGAAGCCCGCTGGGGAGAGGGAAAATGTCGGCGTCCAGACGACCGCGATACTGTTCCCAACATAATTGATATGGAGGCCAAAGCAGCAGGCGCCTCAGAGCCGCTCCCACAACATGTTGCCGAGCTTATCGCTCATATCTACACGAGATTAAAGCTCATCTACAACTCTAGTGGCAAATTCACGTCGTACGACAAGTTAAGCATGGCCCAGAGAACCGCATATCTCTTCTGCTTCCACCAGACAAATTTTCGAGTTGTCTGGGCCGAATTTACGCCAGAGTACCTTGCCTTTCTTTTTGGTCCACCTGTGCAAGCATTCATGGTGGAAGAATCGAAACTCAGTCGAAAACAGCCAGTAATAAAGAAAAAACCTCAAACGGAGAACTCGCCGATTCTGAAGGTCTTCGCCTCTGAAGAAATGCACATGATCTTTGCTGGCACACGCAGAAAGGCAGCGCTTGCAATTCTTGCCCTGGGAATATACAATCAGAACTATGGCGAGATAGCGAGGTCCTGATCGTGGAATAGTTTCGAGTAGTCATGGTCAACTTCGTACAAAATCAACTGGTACAGAGGTAGTAATGAGATGTCATGCAATACAACGATCAGTCAGAGTTGCTTTGTTCAGGTCCCTCATCTTCAAATTCGTAGTAATCCTCGTCACGGTCAAAAAATCCGCCCCCGATCTTGACAGCCGAAGCTGCAGTTAGAACGATCTCATCCGTCAAGGTCACCAGCGTCTTTAGAAATTCACTTTCGGTCCAGTCTTCATTACTCCCGAGCGATGCGGTCGACTTGAAGATCTCCACTTTCCGCAATTTAAACTCGTTGTTTTCTAGTGCATTTATGGTTTCTTCTGGGACTCTTGCAGTAATGAAGATCATCTCGTCACAAGCAGAGCTGGGGTAGAAAACCCTAGTCTGATAATCGGCGTCAGTCAGAGGTACAGAAGATTTGGGTACGATTGACGCACCGTATAAATCCCTTTCTCAGGCTGAACACCTCCTAATTTCTGATCCTGCGCAAGCGCGAGAAGAACGGCGAAGTCATAGGGTTCGAGAGCATCATCATTTTGAGCAGCGGCTACTCGACGAAATAATTCAACGGCAGTATCTCCCTTTTGAGCTCGGAACAGTCCCCGAAGTTGGCTGCGGTATGGAGCATCCATGTATGCCATATACGCGGCTCGCCGACAAATAATAACCCGAAAGGTTTTCAAATAGTGGCAAAAATCTCCAACTTGGAGCGGGAGTTCGACGTTGCCTGTAGTCAAGCAAACCTCCCTGTCTCCACGGCACCATTCCACGAGGACAATAATGAAGTTTCTCAGATGGTAGAAGGGCAGCATGCCAAGAGTTGGAGTAAGGGCATGGTTGGCTTCAATGGAATAGTCGATCCCGGAGATACTGACGGTGTTGGGGAAATCTGATATGGGTGTTTTCTTGATAGGAAGGACGGGTAGAACGCCGGGGATGCTCATGAGGGGAATGATTTGTTGTGGCCACTTCACTGGATGGATTTTCATTGCTCGAATAGTATGGATTGGATATTTGACGTAGTTGTCACGATCATGACCGTCTGAAAGGGGCATCGAGGAAACCTAGCGTACGGCGGTTCAGTCTCAGATGTGTTTGTTTGATGTTTGTGATCAGAGGTGAGGGAAAGATGACATTCAACATTGAAAGCGTTGTCCAACCATTGTCAAACACGTGCAAGCTCTTTGTAAGATCACGTGAAGCTCCGTGAACCCCCCTCCTCCTCTTCTTTGCCTCTTCTACAGATGTGTTACGGTTTTATCAAAGTTTCATGAAGGGGGCTCGAGAATTCAAAATTTACATGATACTCCCTTAGGTTTCATAGAATTGTTTTGTTTATTCCAGTAATATCAGAAATATATTAGGAACCGCTTTCTAGAGACGTTTGCATTTCTAAAACATTGCGGAAAGTCATCCATTGAAACCGACTAAGTAGTACAATAATATATATAATATATATCGTGATCATTGTCGTGGACCAGAGAACCACATAGTATCTTTTCTACATCTACCAGACGAAGTCTCTCGATATCTATCAAGAACTTATGAGCTTATGCAAAGCCAAGCGTGATCAACAACGCACCTCAACATTCCTTAGAGATGGTTGCTTTCCAACGGGCGAGTTGTGACTCCGCTGCGTAGGACGATAGCAAAGACGCGGGAGAAGAGATTGAACAAGTTGTATTCATACCGGAATTCGTACCCAATGAGCTCCTGAAAGAGGTTGGCCGACCCCACTGATTTACCACCACCAAGCCACAATTAACCTCAAAGAGGAGAACACTCCCGCTCCAACCACTCCAAAGAGCTCGTATCACCCTTCAACAAAGGTGATGCCTTCTCCCACGTCTCCGCATGATAGTCGTCAAGCCATTTCTTCTCATGCTCATTCAACAAGCTTGTATCGACCAGGTTCTTGTGGATTGGACACCTAGAAGAATCAACCATCAGCCTTTCTCTGAAACTCAATCGTAAAAGACGAAAAACTGACTTGGTAACATTCCCAAAGCCGAGATATCCTTGTCTCCAAACATATTTGGAGTCTTCACCTCACGCACGAGAACGATAATCTCGATCGGGATATCGAATTTTCCGTCAGCGTAGTACCCTGACTCGTTCGAGACAGTCATCCCGACTTTCAGATGTGTGCTGTTGAGGAATATGAGTTGGCAAACTCTAGGAAAGCCACAGACCTACTCGCACACTAATCCCGCGAGGCCCTTCATAAACATTCAGGAAGTGGCTAACGCCATGTCTGTGGCATGCCTCATACAAGATGAGCATTTTATTGCAGCTTTTTCAACGAATTTCGTCACTGGTAATCTAGAAGGGAGTGTTTGATTGTAGTTCAAAACTAGGAACTTTGCGGGAGAGACATACCAAGACCATCCTGCCACAATGCTCGACGAGCGAAAGAGTCTCTGAAGCGTACCATCGAATCGGCTGCCTGAGTAAGTATGTGGGGTCCACCAAACGGCCTCACATCACGTGGACAGTGGTTGGGAAGATCGCCGTGTTAATGGCAATGTGACCCGAGTGAAAGCTCGTTTCTCTTCATACGCAAAGAACACTGTATGTACGGGATATAATTAGCTATGCAGAGCAGGCTAACGGATGCTATACATACCGGAATTGTAGTCCATATCAGAATCATGAAGATTAGATAGCGAGGCCACCTCATCAAGCATCGTTACCACAATAGCTTGGGCTTTCTTCTGCTTATTCTTGGTGCAATTTCGCAATCTTGTCAAGGTGAGACTGGCCAGAATACTTTACGTTGAGATGGAACACAGGGTTCTTCAGGCACGAAGGCCGGTCTTCCCCCCAGACAACGTCCACGAGGTTCTCTTTTAGCGAGACAGGTTTTGAATGTTTGGACGCTAGTTGTTTGGTTAGAGCTTCGGCGTCCGCTGTTCAAGGGTCTCAATTAGAATGGGAATACGGTGTGACTTGAGCAAGACGACATACACGCTGCTAGGAGAGTTGCATCGATGTCGATCTGGGTGTGGGGCTTTCCAAGTTCTTCAAGGGTGTTAAATCATCTTATCTAGCGAGACCATCCACGGCACACCTTGTAGAGAAAATCTTGCCGTGTAGGAACGTCTAAAGAATGGCTTGGAGAATGAAATGATTGAGAGGTGTGGGTGGGACATACCTGGAAGATCTTGCTTCATCAACTCCCAATTTCTACACATTGATCAGGCCTTGTCGACATTATGGGAACGAAGTTTCAATCTCACTTGTCTAGCTGTTCTCAGCCTGAAGAAAGTAACACCCATCAGTGAAGAGGTAGACCTTCTCCGTAGTAATGACGGCGCATCCTACAAGTCAAGAAACCATAAGTCAGACTTGCATGGCATAAATCGTCTAAAAAACTCACCTGCCAAACCATCGAACCACGAGATGAAAGCTCTCCGCTTATCACAATTCGCCAGGTACTCGCTCGAATCTGTCAAAGGCTTGACTTGATTCCGAATCCGAAGTTTTCAAAAGCAATCGCAATGCGTACGTTGATCCTTGCTTGAAACCACAAAGGCTTGCGCTGAGTGCTGCTTCATCAGTTCGCGAAGCTTAGGGCTCGGTAATGTTGACGGTGTGGACTCCATCTGCTCCCATTGTTGTGCAGATTGTCGTTACTGTGCGTAGAGATGGTGGTGGAGGTCGACGAAGCCGGAGCCAGATTGCCCTCCACATGACGGTCAACCCGGTCACGCCTAAAATGGAACACGCCGGAATTGCACAATGGAAGACTTTCTGTCCCGAATATGTCCCAAATTTACCTCGACCGTTGCGCAAACACTCCGGGGGACCAGGCTGAGCGCTGAGCGCTGAGGCCTGAGCTCAGCCGTGTTTCCTAATCCGTAGCCGCACCGCTATAGTGCAGCACTCTTGGTGAGCCCTGCATATCCTGATCAATTTTAACTACGTTTTCCACTCTGCAGTATTCAACAAATGCCACGCCCGGGGGTAGAGCCATTGCCCACTCTTGTTCTCTCTATTTTCTCAGCGATATGTTGGACCATTTCTATGCTCCTGGTGGCGACTACGATTATGAAAGATACCTTCAGCGGTTGGCCTGGACCCACCCAAATCCTCCTCGAGACATCTATCTTTCTGACAGCAAATGGACATTGGGCCACTTCTACCTTCCTCGCGTTATTATCCCCGATGTCAAGTTGGAGGACAACTGCATAAGACAGGTCCGCTTTTCAAAAGGCGAATTCGAGTCGAGCAGTATACTAAGTAACTAAACGCGGCCCAAAAATCTGCAACTCTTTTTTGCTTCCATCAGACAAACTTTAGAGTTATGTGGGCCACATTTACGCCGGAGTACCTCGCCTTTCTCTTTGGTCCACCTGCGCAAGCATTTATGGCGAGAGATTCGACATGTATCCGAAAACAGTCAATGAGTTTGAACGAGAAAGAACCGGTTCTAAGGCTCCGTGTTCCCGAAGAAATGCCCATAACCTTTGTTGGCTCGCGCAGAAAGGCAGCACTTGCCATCATTGCACTGGGACTATTTAGCCAGAACTACGGCGAGATAGCAAGTTGTCAATTGTGGTAAGTACAGTTTGTTACAGCTACACGTAGAAATCGATTGAAAAGTAAAAGAGGACACGTCAAGCAATACAAACGTTGGTTTTGTTCATTCAAAGTTGCTTTCCTCAGGTTCCCCCGTCATCACCGAAGAATCCGCCCCTGGGCTTGACAGTCGAGGCCGCGGTTAAAATGATCTCCTCCATCAAGGTCACTAGCGCCTTCAGAAATTCACTTTTAGTCCAGGCTTCATTCCTCCCGAGCGATGCAGTCGACTTGAAGATCTCTACCTTCCGCAATCCAAACTCGTCGTTTTCTAGCGCAGATATAGTTTCTTCTGGGACCCTTGCAGTAATGAAGATCATTTCCTCACAAGTAGAGCTGGGGTAGAAAATTCTCGTCTGACAATTGGTGTTAGTCAGAGGTACCGAAGCTTTTGTGTACGATTGACGCACCGTATATATCCCTTCCTCAGGCTGGATATGTCCAAATTTCTGATCCTGCGCAAGCGCAAGAAGAACGGCGAGGTCGTACGGGTCCAGCGCATCATCATTTTGATCAGCAGCTACTCGACGAAACAATTCAGCAGCATATCTCCCTTTTGAGCTCGGAATAGTCCCTGAAGTTGGCTGCGGTATGGAGCATCCATGTATGCCATATACGCGGCTCGCCGACAAATAATAACCCAAAAGGTTTTCAAATAAGTAGTGGCAAAACTCCAACTTGGAGCGGGAGTTCGACATTGCCTGTAGTCAAGCAAACCTCCCTGTCTCCACGGCACCATTCCACGAGGACAACAATGAAGTTTCTCAGATGGTAGAAGGGCAGCATGTTAGCATGATTGCCTTTGATAGAATAATCGATCCCCGAGATGCTGACGGTGTCGGGGAAACCTGATATAGGTGTTGGGGTAATAGGAAGGACGGGTAGAACGTCGGGGATGCCCATGAGAGGGATGATTTGTCGTGGCGTGCACTTCACTGGATGTCTTTTCATTCCTCGAATAGTATTTACTGGATATTTGACGTAGTCGTCGCGGTCATAGCTGTCTGAAAGAGGCATCAAGACCTCGCCGGTCCTGTCTTGATTCTGTTTGCGCAATGCGATCAGAGAAAGCGATGAAAGCAATTTCATTCCATGCGTTGGACAATTGCCAAACAAATGCAACTTTTTGTCATGTTGAAAAAAAAGAGCACAAACGTCGAAAAGTGGTTCAATCCAGGATCGAACTGGAGACCTTCTGTGCACAAATTTTAGTAATCAAAGAAAATGTGAGACAGAAATCATAACCACTAGACCATTGAACCGATGACCTTTACTGAACTAGAGACCCACCAACCTGTTTAAACTGACAAGACCTCTTAACCCACAAGATCATCTTCATAACGACCTGGATACTTGCCCTTCAGGAGCGGTATTGGATCGTCGTCGTTCATCGGAATTATACTGTCCATGGCAGCGAAAACTTGTGTCCTTAAATGTATTGCCGTGGCGCCTCCAAATACTATAGCGAAAAGTTCTGTAGTATACTGTGCGAATTTGAGAAGAAATGCAGCGGAAAGAAGCGTCAAAACTTGCGAGAACGAGGCCCCTTGCCATTTCTTTCATGATTCACATCCCTTGAAGACTTCGTTAGATTGGTGTTCCTGCGATAACGAGGCCCCTTCCCATCCCTTTCATGATTCATATCCTTTAACGGTTTCGTTTGATTGGTGTTCCGCTGTAGCGCAGTGCAAGTTGATAAGAAATTCGATGGTATATTGGTAGAACTTGCCATTTCCAAAGTAATACCCTCCATGTCTTCGTAGATATCTGGGATGGGATTGGTCGCGTTACTCCCATTGGGAGCGACTCCATCGTCAGAACTCGCATGAGAGGCGTAGCTCAGAGGGCGATTTATGACACTGGACGAGGTACTTTCACGACTCGGCTGATACTCCGAGCTAGACGAACTGGCTCTCGAGAAGACGTTGAATCTGCGAAGGGACATGAGGGTTGCCTACAGTGAATCTCGGCGCCTGTTTGGTTCTTGGAGGCAGGTGGAGGGTAGGCGCCAGACGCTCAAGCGTTCACACCTGGGCGCCTAGTAGGTGCTTATACCAGAACACCACCAGGCCGTATAGGCTGCATAATCTCCAGCAAGCTGACGCAAATTCGTGTTCTTCTGTAGCTCTGGCAAGTTGGAAGGCTCAGCCTTTGATCCTCCCACAACAACCCGAGTTAGGCTTGAAGGTCATTTAGCAATGGCGGATTATATTCTGCGGTATTTTGACCAGTCTTTGGGTGTCATTGAGACGTGGGCCAACTCGCCAGTGAGATTCGATAGTGACGGTGTGCGCAATAACAAAACCAATTGCAAGTCACCAAACAAAATTTGCCTTCTTCCGACAACCACCACAATCAAAATACAATTTCTTGACTCTTCTAACCATTTCTTGGCTATTCTATGGACAACAACGGCTTTGATTATAATGCGCTCAGAGGTATCAATCCAAAGTTCTCAATGTCGCAGACGTCGGACGCGTCGACGACGAAAGTCAAGCCGAAGACGTTCTCAATGACGCAGGGTAGGCCACCTATACAAAAACCAAAAATCAGCTCGACACACAACGCAAGTTCCTTCAAGTTTGCCCTATTCAAGAGACCTGAAGCCTTGGCCATTCCTGACGCGTCCCGACGATCCGTGTTTTCTTTTCAAGCGCAACAACGAACGCAGGCTGAGGGTTCATCTCAGAATCGCCTATCGGCACCACTATTTCTTTCAGATGTCCAAGAAGCATTGGAGGCACCGGTCAATATCCTGCAGGATCGCGACGTCGGACAAGGGGAGGCACAAGGTGAGCATTACCACCATTGCTTTCGCGAATATCGGCCTGATGACGACTACAGAGGGAAGAAGAGACGCGTCATCACCGTTGCCGGCCTCACCCAAATATGAAGGCCGCGCATACATACATCCAGCATCGCATAAATCGCCGCCAAATCCTCCCTCATCGACCACTTCACACAGAGGAACAGAATTCTCGCCAGAATATAGCCGGGAACCCGACAGAACTGCATCTCTGACCTCGATTCCAGGCGAGTCGAGTAAGTTATTCACAATCTACTCGCAAGGTTGTTTGACACATCGTAATAGACCACAAACCGAGTCGTCGACAATCCCCGGCCCTATCTGGAGCGCATACATCTTCTTCGCCTCCCCCTTCACGCCCCAGCTCGCGGTCTCAAGCAGTTTTTCCGCGATCAAAAAATGAATTAGGTTTCAATTCGATTCCAGATACGTCTCTCAAACCACAACAAACTCCTCCCATTGCGAAAAGGGATGTAAAGCGAGCGTTTAGCGATCTCCTTGAGCATGTTCGTTCCTTCGTGGTTCTTCTTGCTTCTGTTCTTTTAAACTTTCTTCTTCACAGAACCACCGATATGAAGCTTTTTTTGCGGAGTCGGTTGCGCTGCAAACACAAAATGAGTATTTATCTCGGATGCGCAGTGCGACCACGAAGGATCTCAAGTCTGTGCGTGAAGAACTTTCCGCTACAGCAGCGCAATTGGCATCTGCTAGGTCGGAGCTCGCCGGCGCTCTCCCACTGTTGAAATCAACGGAAAATGAATTAAGCACCGCCAAGTCTGACCTCGCCTTAACACGCTCGAATCTTGCGGACGCCGTCGCCGAAATATCGTCCCTAAAAACTTCTTTGGAGCAAATGGCGCATTCTACTGAACAGGAAAAGTTGGTGAAGGAAGTGGCTGAAAAGAGGCTCTTCACGGCGAAGCAAGGTCTGACAACTCTCCGAGAAAAGTAAGTTATCTGTCGATCCCTGTTGTTTCTTACTTATGCTAGCTTCAATAGCTACGAGTCACTTCATTCCTCCTTTGTCGCTCTTAGAAAGTCTCACGAGGCATCGGCAGCTTCGCTTTCACAAGCTGTCGCCGAGGCGACTGAGATTAAGCGGTCTGCAGCGGATGCCTTGACCAGTAAGGCTGTTTCAACTGGGTTTACGCAATTTTGACGACGTCTCCGCCACTACTAGGTGTCAAACCTCTCCTTGAAGCGGGCGGTGGCCTTTCTCGCGCATCTGAAATGAGAGACACTATTCAAGAACTCCAGGGAGAGTTGGGGTCATGTAAGCTCGTTCCTGTTCTTCACCCAATCGATCGTTGACCCTCTACAGCCCAGCGTGTGACCGATCTCCTTCGAGACAAGCTCCACCACCTATCTTCCCAGCTCGCGGATGCGCAAGCACGGATCAAAGATTTCGAAGATACGGAGCGCGGGACGCTGAGTGTTCTTCGCGATCGCTTGGACGATAAGCGGAGCTTGGAAGTTTTGTGCAGTGTCGGTGAGCATTTCTGTCAACTGCCCTCGTTTGTATGGACACTTACGTTTTTTTTCTCTCAAGGGACCAAGGTAGAAGACCTGACAGACCGTCTGGCGAAGCACGAACGGGAAAGTATCGATAACCTCGCCGAAGCAGCTGGTGTAGAAGCAAAGCTCATCGCCGTCACTCATGAGTAGGTTCTAACTTTGTGTTGGAATCTTACCGGACGCTTGAACTATCCTTTTAGACTGCAGAATCTGAAAACTTCCTCATCAGCAAATCTCCTTGAGCTGCAGGAGCTGAGGGTCATCAAGGAGGAGTGAGTGTACTCACCTACCTTTTGGATTCACGTCCGCTTACGGGCTTTTGAACAGGGGTCTTTCGAAGTTGCTCGGGTCTCAAGAAGTCATCAACGCCAAGGACAAGGAAATTATCGGTTTGAAGGCAGAGGTCAAGGCTTTCGGCGAATCGAAGGCTGAGTTGAGAGCATTGTTAGTTTCCTCTTTTTTCCGTGTGTGGTGGACTTACGCAACACACACTACCAGGGTTGCGGAAGCTAAGAAAGCGGTCGCGGAGAAAGACCGCGAGCTCAGAGCTAGGGATTCGTAAGTGATGGCGAGATACCCTCTCGTGTGCCTTTGACGATAATCTGTGCAGAAATATCTTGTTTGAGCAAAAAGTCGAGGACCTGAATTCGCAGGTCGTTTCTGCAGAGGCATCGTTGAAAGTGTACGTCACCCATTTAGTCTCTTCTTGCCTTTGTAACGCCGTTTTTGTAGAACAAGAGAGTGGCTCGCACTGGCTCAATCCGAGGCTCGTGAGCGTAAAGAGGAAAGCGACATTCTGAAGACAAAGGTCGAGAGCCTTGAAGTCGCTCGGACCGAATGGTACCTCCACCTTTTGATCGTGTTTTATCCTCACCATTGATGAATACCGTTACTCTAGGGAGGGTCTGAATTCCAAGTTACAAGCACAGATTCAAGAGCTTAGCACAAAAGAAGCTCTGGCTGTACGGACAACCCAACTTGTTCAAGCTGAGATCAAGCGGGTCACAGCGGAAGCCAAGAAGGCCGGTGAGGAAGCGAGTAAAACTATCGAATCGTATGTCGCTCTTCTTTGACGTTGGCAATGGTTGAAACTGATCTTTTCCGTATCTTCAGGCTTCGTCAAGCGAATCGTCGGTTGGAGGTTGGTAATAACTTGTGCCCGTGCAGATTCATCACTGACCTTGGTATCTCCAGAGTCGATTGGACGAACAAAATACGGCTCTAGTTTCGGCAAATGACATGAACAACGCACTCCAGGTAATGTAATGCATTCGCGACATGTGTAATCTACCGACGTTATCATGAACGACGCAGACTAGATTGGATGAGCAGATGGCTGCCTTGACGCTAGCCAAGGACCAAATCACCGCGAATGAGGTGAAGTCTGCCATTTGTCATGATACTTCGGTGATTATTGATATACTTCGACCTCAGGCGGGCGTACAAGAGATCGTTCACAACCTCAGGACAGAACTCGCCGTTGCCCATGAGCAGAAACTCGCGCTTGAGCGTGAGACCGCCAACCTCAAAGTTTCCTTCAATCATCTTACTCGGGAATCCGCCGCCTCACTGGCAGCTGCTCAAGTGGACTTTGAGAAAAAGATGAACAAGCAGGAGAAAGCTAACGAGCGACTTGTTTCGGCGCAAGAAAAACGTGCCGTTGCCGCTGAGAAGGCGGCCACTATGGCGGAGAATGATGCTGAAGAAGCAAGAACGGCGAGGGAGGAGCTTGCTGGTAGGCTTGCTTTGGCGGAGATGTCCGTGATTGCGATTGCTGAGGATGGCGAGGCTGCGGCGACGAGGGAGTCTGGGCAGATGAAGATCATGAAAGCTCGAGCTGAGGAGCTGGAGGCAAGAATGGGCGAAATGACGAAGAATGCCGAAACGCTTTTGACTCGGTACCATGATGCGAACTTGGTAAGGTCATTTTCTTGTGAGCTCATCCAGACTTGACTTCGACTTTTGTAGACCGACCCAGAGAAGGACCTGGTGAACCATGTCATCCTTCAAACCCAAACGAGTTACGAACAGGACGTCGTTGCTAAGGATAACGAGCTTCGAAGAGTTAGGTTATCGTATGTGGTTGAAACCTACTGACCTCGATCTCCCAGCGTGAACACCTCGCAACCGGCCTCCATAGTCGAATCCACTCTTTGGAGGCGGCACTGGCGCAGATGCTCAAAGAGAAGGCAAAGAGTGCTGGGCCAGACGCGAAGACTTTGGTAAATTTCCGGATGTGGCTTCCCTCGAGCCCGATCGACGAGTCGTTGCAAACTTTGGTAATGTGTTCATGAATACGCTCCTCTGATTTTATCTTTATTGGCTCTTTTCATGATAGGCCGATAATGCAATGGAGCAAACGATCGAACCTGTTCCCGACGCAGCGCAGCGCTCTTCACCAGATCCAGCCCACCTCTCTTTGCCGGCTCCAAGTCCCAAACAACAGGAAGAAATGATCAAACCGCCATCACCCATCTCGAAACCTCAGCCCAGGGCGACTAAGCAAAAGAAGAAGAGCTTCAAGACCCTTGAGGACGCCGATTCGGACTATGAGTATGACAACAGGGACAACGATTTAAGCGACTTGTCCGATCTGGAGCCTTTGTCGCCAGCAGGGAGGTGCATGAGAAAGCGTGGTCGTTCTGTATCACCGCCAGCTACTGTGACCGTCGAGGAGCCTGTGAGGACAAAACGAAGATTGGTATACACGTTTCTATGCTCCGATATTCCTCCGCTGTTTTTCACCCCTTGTTTGAAATGTAGAGGGCCACAGGAGTTCAGAATCCGGCTGTCGTTACGGCGCTTGTCATGCCGTTCCCGCAGGAAGAAGTTTCGGTTTCGACTTCCCCAGCTGTTCAGAAGAAGGCCTCCGATGGGCCTGTCAAGACTCGCCAGAAGAAGCGCAAGTAGCTGGTTGGTTCTCGTTATCAATGCCCTGTTGGTCGGTCTTTTTGCGGTACTTGGGACTCTGTTTTCTTAATCCGACTCACTTTTTCGTCTTTGGCCTGGGATTTCTCTTGGATTCGCCCTTTGGCAATTGCAACTGTCAACTCTTTGGCTAATCATGGACGTTTTGTCGCCGTGACGATTGTCCATAACTCTTACTGTGTTGCTCGAGTCATAGTCGGCGGCCGAATTTTGGGTCGGACTCATGCACGAACCAGCTAAAGAGAGCAATGTATTTGAATAGATGTGAACCAAATGAGAAAACAAAAAATTTGTGAAGCGATGGGTGCCAGTGGCTTGCCGTAACAGGCTTGGATACTCGGCGCGAAGTACTAGAACCCGCTTCAAAGGCCAATACAGTTTCACTTCCCGTTTCTCAAAACATGGGACTGTAGTTGCAAGCTAATTTACAAACCCGAGGAACCTCGAGACACCCAGAGTCTCTCCTCGTTGTAAAAGTAAAAATTGAGGTTGCATAACGGAAGCAAATTCACGATGGTAGCAACGTTGTATAAACGATCGACTCGGGTCAGGTTCAGATGGGGACAAGTTGTAATATTGGCTCCTTGCAACCTCTGCAACTGTGGGCGACTCCCAATCAGTTTAAATAACGGATTACGAAAAACCATGGGTCAATCCAATGCATCAAAGGCTCTAGGGACCCATCGGCCTCTTCGACCAAAAAAGAAAAAGGAAAAAAAAAACGGGGTCGTGGTCGGGGTGGTTAACTTTACTTCCCTACATGACGAATAAATTTGGCTGATTGTGAAATTTATGCACATGCACCAGTGAGTACGCGTACATAATTACGACAAGTGAGTTATCTCTGCGAGAAATTGTTCGTTGACGTGTTTGAGTGTGAGTAAACCGACTAGGGTCCTGCCGCGAGAGCACTGGGGTGCTTTGAATAGAACATTGCACTGCGACGTCATTCCTATCAACTCGGAGTCAGTTATTATTATCAAGGTACATACTCAATAGTGTGATTGAACCAAGGTTGAACAGCCTCAGGTTGTGGACACCCCGGTTTTTGGAACTTGCCAGTCAGTGGCCTGGGGTGAGTGGGATATCCTTACTTGTTGAGGTTGGCGGTGGCCCTTGTGTACTTTCTCTATCTGTTCCAATGGTGGTGATGAACGACGAGCCGATTCAAAATTCAAAATTCATGATGAACTGCGAGTTGGGGATGCTGATTTTCCTACAACTCTCAACTCGATGACGTTTGATGAATTCTTCGATGACAGCCTGCCTCTGGAGGGTCCCAACTCGACGAGAATGTAGAAAGCGACCAGGCCATGGATCTAGCCTCGCAACAGCTTGACCGACATCCTGCCCACATAACCTCTGGGTGAAAGCCCCATATGTCGGAGTGAAGGAAGCGTTGTCTTGGTAGGGAACGGCGAAGCGAAAGCCCCATTGAGGGGTGTAAGGACCTGGTCTTCAGCTATTCCCCTGATCACAGTCCGCCTCTGAATAGCTCTGCTGTGATGGCCGTGCGGAATGGGAGGCCATGAGTCTACACCCACGACTCAACCTGCTCGTAACCTCTGAGTAGAAGAGTCGCTTCAGGAAATGCATCCCCAGGCATGGAGGGTAAAAACCGGCTATATCTAGATCTTGCTTGGACACCAACTGGTTCACGGGCGTGGTAGACGCATACACGAACCATACTCCTGATAGTTGAGTGGAAAGGACATAGCCCGCCTTGACAAATCCAATCTTCGGCAATCTCTTCGACGAGGCTGTCTTGGTGACGTGCTAGGACGGAATCGAGCCATAGTCTATGGTCCCTTGTCATACAACCAGCCCCAGCACCCTCCAGTAGCGTTGAAAACTGCGCATCAACGCTGGATCCGAACCTTTATAAACTCCCTGGACGACGATCTGCCTCGGCTGCCACTGGTCAAGAGTTCCAGATAAGTGGGGAAGGGTGTAGCACCGGGTTTCTAGGAGAGAGACTCGCGTACACTGCCCTGACGGGATGCAAACAGAACCTGCTTCGGTATCGATAAGACCAAACATGGCAAGGGTCGGGTCCTATCCTTGGTAACTGCCTGAACGACAACTTGCCACGGCACACTCTGATTCATGGGGGTTTTCTTGGCCTACACCATGCTCCAAAAAATAAAGGAATCGCATGTGTGATAGGGGACCAGAGATGAAAAGGAGGAGCGCGAGGAGGAGAAGCGGGGTGATCGGGGTGCAGTGATGAAGCTATAGCATATACTGCATTGAGAGGAGAGCGTATAGTGGCCACGTCTTGGTATCGGTAAGACAATACCAAACCAAGGAACGGGGCGTTCCGCAAACGCCAATCGAATCATGGGCAGGATGAACGCATAGGGCACAGGTCTGATCTTTGGTAACTCTCCTAACAACAACCTGGCTCGATAGCCTCTTAATCAAGGGGGCTAAAGAGCTGAGTTTGGGGGTAAAGAGAAAGGAGAGCCCCGGCTTGTTCGGTGGACAATTTGCTCCTAGGACCTCCGGAAAAGATAGTAGGGGATCTAGACATGCAGAGTGTGGCTTTGAGCCGATGAAACTCGTTTCAGAGTGACGTTATGGGAAGGGAAGAGATTTGGGACTGGTGGTTGTCGTTTGATAGTTCACGAGTGGCTTGTCGCGTCATACGAGGAAGGGTAAAGATGGCCCAATCCCTCCCCAACATCGCGAAGGCTTGACCAACGGGTGTAGACTCGTGTAAGATGGTCTTGAAAAACCGGACAGGGGCCCATCAGGCGAACGAGCGCTCAACGCTGATTAACGGTCAACACTTGATCCACATCCAAAAATATGACCAAAAAAGAAAGACAAAAACGAGCGAAACAACGAAGAAAAACGAAAAGACCAACTCACTTTTCAGCCGATGTCAACGGCGGCCTCTCTTTCTCCTTCTCCTTCTCCAAGGGCAAATTCATGAATCACCCCATGTCTCCCCTTCAAAACCGGGCTTCCCCTCCCCACCGAACTGCTCCTCGATAAGCCAGCTCCAGCATGTAAAGATTGCTGCGTACCGCGCGCACTTATAGGTGAGCGTGCCTCGTTATTATTGATTGAGCTTGAAGTGTAGTCAATAACATATAGAGCATTGTATCTGGGAGGCTCTTCTTATGCTTGCAGATGTGCCTGGTGAGGGTGAGGAAGCGGATGCGGATGATGATGAGGTGATTGTTCCATCTAGGAGAGGGAGTGGTCGTGGACTGGGTGAGGCGGGTAGAATGCCTAGAGAGTGTCGTTTAGATTTGGTGGTTGATGAGTAGGAGGTCGATGGCGCCGTTGTGCAGAAAGTCCCCGCTTCTGGGCCATACGTTCGTGAACCAACTTGGGCGAACGCGAACGTGGACTGGGCACCTTAAAACGAAACCCTAACTCTCGTCTGTTGTCCAACGAGCTTGCCCATCGTAAATGTTTAGATCTCCCTTTCCATAAAGAATTCCCTTCAGCGCAGCCCGGAGCTCTCCAGTTCCAACCCCAACCCTCTCATCCAGCTGATGAACCAGCTCATCAGTCGAACACTGGTTGGCTGAGCTCGCACAAAACATTGCCCTTTGGAACAGCCTTTCGATAATTGATAATTGGCACGAGGGTGACACGTAAGGAATGAAGGAGGGAGTCATTGCCACCACCGTTTCATCCTCCACCTCATTCTTGAAAGAACGGGCTTGAAGACTGAGTGGAGTATTGAGCACCGGCTAGGCTCGAATTGCAAACTTATATGTCATATGCCTGTAGAGTCGCGCCCTGAGACCCGATCGGGGCAGCAGATGGTGGAAGTGTGACGGTGGTAGTGGATATACATCAGCTGGGGGAAGTTGTGGGGAACTGGCGTTAGCGACATGGAGAAGAGAATTGTATAGAAGCAGGTTGAAAGTAGACAGGGGGGAGGGAAGCTGAGGGGAGGAGGCGGGGATGGAAGAGGAAGAGGATTGAAAGCGAAGAGGGGTGGAGAGAAGAGGGGGGTTGGAAAGACACCACAACATTCTACCCGCTTTGCGGAGGCAACCCAACTCTGCAACTCGCCTATCAAGTAATAAACAGAAAAAGCTCACCCAATCTCAACATCCCAAACGCTCAAAACCTTACCGCACCCTCCAGTTACGACGATCGAACTAGGCCGGCCACACCAATGAAGGAGTAGCGCATTCAGCTTTGACTTCATCTTGAGCGGCCTTGTCTCTCTGTTGGTTTAGAGATCGACTATGGCGCCACCGACGTGAAGGTGCGCTGTGTAGTTTGGTCTGGTGCGAGTCCCGGTCGTCTTGATGGTGGTGTAAGCTTCCACCACGCCCGTTGCGCGAATCTCCATCAGGTTTGTGGCTCGAGCTCCCGCCACCGCGTTGATCCCTAGTTCCTAATATTTACCCGCCTAGTCCATCGAGGCGTTGACTCGGAAATTCGAAGATGGCGAAAGAGCCGCAGACGTTAGGCGAGATTGAGTTGGTCCTGCCGCTTGATGTCGTTGTTCTCCGATCATCTGCGCCCGTCGATACCTCACTAGCTTTCCCAAGGATGAATAATGCGCCTAACTGTATATGCTGTCAGGAGGAATCACGCACAAAGAATCAAACCAAAGATACATAGGAACATTATTGACGACGCAAATTCTACGAAACGAGAAGTGAGCAAAACGGATCTAAGTGCAGAGAAGAATATCACCTCGACTTCAAAATTTGTTTTAGGCTTTTGGCATCATATTTGCGTGTCCGCGAAAGCAGCTAATAGGTTCATTGAGGAGATGTGTCTGTTGCGGAGGAACTGTTCTGAGGGGAAGGATATCGGTAGTCCATGCGCAAAACGACGATACGGGTCGACGTCGCAGTTCATCTTTCGAGTATGGTAGGTACGCTTCTCTGAACCGGGTTCCGAGCGCCCACAGGACAGGTGACAGAATTTTGAGCTGTGCTGTGTGAATGCTTGTATGCCCCGGCAAAACGCGAATGATGCCTCATGGGCAGTGGCGGCTGTTGCACCCCCTCGTTCTCGCTTCTTTCCTTCGCCCCCATCTGCTACACTTCCAACATGAGCCAATTAAAT